AAACACTGATTTTAATTTCGCGTTATTCATTAATGAATTTAAAAAAACTTTTACGAAAGCAAACACTGACTCTACTAACCGCGCGCGATTACAAAAATTTACTGAAAATAAAATTATATAATAGGGGGAAGGATGGGGTGGAAAAAGAAGAAAATATTCTTCGATATTTTTCTTTCTTTTTCTTTCTTCTTTCAAACATTTGTTTAAGAAAATACTGCTATAGGATACTTTTTAACATTCAGAAATTATGAATAATTTGGAATAATTTGGAATAATTTGGACAAATTTGAAAAATTATTTGAATAATTTAGAAAAATTACACCATAATTGTTCGCTATCAAAATTTAGATTATAGTTAATTATAATAAATTATGGTCGCGAATTATAAATATTCGAAATTTCTTGCAAAATAATCAAAATTTTACAAATTAACCATACAATAATAAATTAAACTTAAACGTAAAAATTTAAAACTAGTGTAGTTCTTAGCTTGGCATCAGTTTTCAAAAACTAATCATTCTAATATAATTCTAATAGAATATTTTTAATGTAATATTTGCAATAATTTGATCAAATAATATAAAATGAAAACCGATGCCAATTACCGGGTCTCACCAACGAGGAGGTGACTACGCCGAGACCCATATATTTATATTAATTATATAAACTGTTATTTATTATATTTATTATATAAAAACAGTGTAAATTATATGTTAAATATAAAATATTAAAATAAAATTATAAATTAAAATTTAAATCAAATTAAAATTTTAAAGTAAAGATAAAATTAAAAGATTGAAAGTTAAATCAAATTAAAAATTTTTACTAAAAGTAAAATAAAATTTAAAAATTAAAATATATAACAAATTAAAAATTAAACGTTAAAGTAAATAAAAAATTAAGAAGTATAAATGAAATTAGAATATTAAAGGAAAAGTAAAGTTCAAAATTAAAATTAAAAAATTGATGTGAATTGAAAATAAAATTAAATAAAATTAAAAAGAATTAAAAAAAATTTAAAAATATTTAAAGTTTAAAATAGAAATTAGATGATAATGTTAATTAAAAATAAAAATAAAAATTAAAAATTAAATTAAATCAAATCAATATAATAAATAAAAATTGAAGATTGAAAGTTAAATCAAATTAAAAATTTTATCTAAAATTAAGATAAAAATTAAAAATTAAAATTGAAAATTAAAATGAATTGAAAGTAAAATTAAATAAAATTAAAAAAAATTAAAAAGAAAATATTTAAAGTTTAAAATAGAAATTGAATGATAAAGAAATTGAAAAAATAAAAATAAAAATTAAAAATAAAAAATTAAATCAAATCAATCAACTGAAAATTTTATTTAATTTATTTTAAAGTTAATGTAATTAAAAATTAAAAATTAGATAAAATAAAAAGTAAAAGCAAAATAGGAGAAATATATATATAATAAATTTTATAATAAAATTAATATAAGAATAAATAGTAAGAAATTATTTTCAATGTTACAAAATTTCAGTTAAAGTGTTATGATTTTGATGTTATCGCGACGCGAGCTCGATAGGAAATGATTGCTCTCGTCTGTCTTGTCCTCTATTTATACAAGTGTATGAGGCGATGTCGAACGAAAATATACGACCTTTTCCGATTTTATCAAAATAGATATTTCAAATATTTTTACGAAATAAAGTAAAATTTTATATTTTATAATATCAATCTTCGATTTAATATTATGTTAAAAATTTCTTCTTATTATTTTATGCGAAAAATAATTATAACCACGAATAGATTTATGATCAATAATTTAATAATTTTTGAACTTTTATTCTAATTTGTTTACCAAATAATATATTACGATACGAAATATAACAAATCGCATATATTTTTTTTTAAATTAGATTTTATAAAATAAGATTTAATTTTATTTTTTTTAATAATTAAAGAGAATTATATTTTAAACTAGATTGTAAATATGCGTAGTTCTTGGCTTGCCATCGCTTTCCATTAAAATTAAATTATTGAGAAAATATATCTTATATTTCTAAATTTAAAATAGTTCAAAAATTTCTTAATGGTATATTTGTAAATTTTTTTAAAATGAAAAAAAAATTGAAAAGCGATGTCAATTACCGGGTCTCACCGACGAGGAGGTGACTACGCATCGAGACCCACCTAAAACTGAAAATAAAAACAATATTAAAATTAATTTTAATAAGTTAGACGAATATAAAACAAAAAATAAATAAATAACAAGTAATAAATAAATTAATATAATATAAAACACATAAAAAAAATATATAAAAATTAAATAAACCTGAAAAATTGGATAGGAAATGTTAATTAAAAATGTTATCAAATAAAATAATTTTTTATTTTACAGTATAGTCATATTTACAATAATCTTTATAATAGTTTTTTTACATTCGTTGTAATTTACTTCTCGTAATTTATTTCACAATCATAGCTTAAGTATAACTTAATTTCTATTTTATACTATATTTTATACTTTATCTTACACTATATCTTAATACTATTATCTCAATACAATTAATATAGTCGTACTTACAATAATTTTTGTATATATTTACAATGATCTTTAGAATAGTTTTTTATATTCATTGTAATTTATTTCACATAACTTAAATCTAACTTAATTTACATCTTATATTATATCATATACAATATCTTATATCTAATCCTAAATCTTAATACTATTAACTTAATAAAATTAATATAGTCATACTTACTATATTAATTTTATTAATCTTTACAATAATTTATTACATTTGTTGCAATTTATAATCATATCTTATATCTAACTTAATTTATATATTTTATTATATCTTATATTATATCTAATACTAAGTCTTAATACAATCTGTAATGCATATACATATTTGTGGCATCCGTATCAAGAATATTCCCGTCTAACTTAATACGAAAAAAGAAAAATTCAAAATGCTAATCATATTTATCAAATAGAACTAGAATGTTCAAAGATAAAGCAAAAATAAACTAATAATGAGCATTAAAAGAAGAACATAAGATAAAAATCATCAACGATAAAAATCAAGAAAAGACTATGAACTTCCTAATTACTGCTATCCTCATATTGTGACTTATATAATG